CTGACTTTGTGGGCGCTAACAACCGGTAGCATGCTTGTACTCTCCTCAATCGCGTGCACGGCCTCCGCCCGCGCCACGAGTGGCACTCGACGTGCCGCCCTCAACGCATTTTTACGCCCCACACTATCATCGTATCTCCCGTCAAGCCTTTCCAGCACCAGTCGGGCCCTGAGTATCAGTCGCTCGGTCTCCCGGGCATCGCAACGTTTCCACGGACCCCCTCCAAGCTTCGCCCCCCGTTCGCCCTCCCACCTCGGCGCGGCGGCCACAAGCACCGAGGTCAGGCCCACGCAGGCCGTTAAACTCCCCAGCAATGACCAGTCCCCGAATCTGCTTCGCATTCGCCACACGTCTGCTCACGTGATGGCCATGGCCGTGCAGCGCCTCTTCCCCTCCGTGCAAGTGACGATCGGTCCCTGGATCGAGAACGGGTTTTACTACGACTTCGACACGGGGGACACCAAATTTACGGAGGAGGATTTGAACAAAATCAAAAAAGAAATGGAGCGTATCATCAAGAAACGGCTCCCGCTTCGCCGGGAGGAGGTGACGCGGGAGGAAGCCAGGAAACGGATCGAGGCGATGCAGGAGCCGTACAAGTTGGAGATCTTGGACGGGATCAAGGTGAAGGGGCAGGAAGGAAAGGCGACAGTGGAATGAGGGGGAAGGCATCAGTTTGGAGGCAAGGGGAGGGATGGGATGACAGGGACCTTTGTCTTTGAAGGGGGTCCCTCACCTGTCACGGTGGACCCACTTGCCTTCCCTCTCCCCCCCCTCCCCCTCCCCTCACTCGTTCCCTAGACCGAGCCCATCACCATCTACCACATCGGGGACGAATGGTGGGATCTCTGCGCCGGGCCGCACGTGGAGTCGACCGGAGACCTCCCCTCCAACGCCATCAAGCTTGAGTCCCTGGCAGGCGCCTACTGGCGGGGCGACGAAAAGCGGGCCATGCTCACCCGGATCTACGGCACCGCGTGGGAGAGCAAGGAGCAGCTTCAGGAATACCAGCGGCTGATGGAGGAGGCGAAGAAGCGGGACCACCGGGTCTTGGGGAGGAAGCTGGATCTGTTCTCCATCCAGGAGGACGCGGGGGGGGGGTTGGTGTTCTGGCACCCCAAGGGGGCGACCGTGCGGAAGATTGTGGAGGACTTCTGGAAAGACGAGCACGAGCGACGTGGGTACCAGCTTCTCTACACCCCGCACATGGCGAACCTGCAGCTCTGGAAGACGAGCGGGCACTTTGACTTCTACAAGGAGGGCATGTTCGATCAGATGGAGGTGGAGAACGAGGCCTTTCAGATCCGGCCCATGAACTGCCCCTTCCACTGCTTGATATTTAAAGACACACTGCGGAGTTACCGGGAGTTACCGATACGGTGGGCGGAGCTGGGGACTGTGTACAGGTGGGAAGGGAGGGAGGGAGGAAGGGCGGGAGGAAAGGAGGGAGGGAGGAAGGGAGGGGAGGAAGGTCCGCCCCGGGACACTTCCTCACTTTGAGTGACCTGGAGCATCACCTGGCGCACCCCTTCCTATTTCGCTCCCTGATCCCTGCCCCGACTTTGTGTAGGTACGAGCGCTCCGGGACCCTGCACGGTCTGATGCGGGTGCGAGGGTTCACGCAGGATGATGCCCACATCTTCTGCCTCCCTTCCCAGCTCCAAGACGAGATCCGCGGCGTGCTGGACCTGGTGGAGTCCATCCTCTCCAAGTTCGGCTTCGTCGACTACGAGGTGATGCTCAGCACCCGGCCCGAGAAGAGCGTGGGCAGCGAGGAGATATGGCAGGCT